ACTAGCCCCCGCCCAGACATCTCATCGCTATCCTCCATTGGATGAGAAGGACGGAACTACATCTCCCGGCATGCACTGCGGTAATGGCACTTGTCACGGAACCCGGAAGTTGATGGTGGAGGCACATGTGTGGAGCAGTGTATGGAATGGGATGAGATGTGGGATTAAGGGTTGGGGTTGCCACCTCATCCCTTTAAACCCGACCACATATTCATTACACAGATTATGGGGCTGATTGCAGATAAAGTACTCGGTGAGTTTAGTGACTACCTTAATCAGCCCCAGAACCTGTGTAATGAATGTGTGGTCGGGTTTAAAGGGATGAGGTGCAAACCCTGTATGGGATGCTGTGTACTGTATGGTTATGGAATAGAATATTGGATGATATAGTATGGGGTGGTGTATAGTAGATGCTACAATATAGTATATGGGATGGTATGATACGGTACAGTATATAGGATGGTGTATAGTCAGGGGCGGACTGACCATTTGGAAACTCCGGCAGTGCCCGAGGGCCGGGGTCAGTAGGGGGCCCCATGAGATGCCCCTGGTACCTTTTTCATAGGCTTTTTTGAGTTTGGGAAGGACACAGGGGCCCCTTGATCCCCTATTGCCCGGGGGCCCCATGAGTTGTCAGTCTGCCCCTGTGTATAGTATATGGGGGTGGGATGGTATATATGATATTTGATGTTCTGGCATGTAAATAGGGTGGTGTATGGTATATAAATTATATTGGATGGTATAAAATATTGGATAGGATGTATTGGATGGTGTATAGTGGGTGGTATGGTATATGATATTGGATAGGGTGGTATGATATTTTACGGCATATAGGATGGTGTATAATATAAGGGGTGGTATGGTATATAATTTATATTAGATGGTATAGTATATGGGATGGTATAGTACTTGGGGTGGTATGGTGTAGTTTAGAATATTGGATGGTCTATGATGGGGTGGTATGATATAGTACAGTATATAGGATGGTGTATAGTATATGATATTGGATGTTCTGGTATGGTATATCGGGTGATGTAAAGTATATGGGAAGGTATAGAATGGTATGATATGTTATATGGAATGATACAGAATATTGGATAGTATAGTATACGGTATATAATTTATATTGGATGGTATAGTATGGTGTATAGTAGATGGTATACTATTGGATGGTATAGTACTTGGGGTAATATTGTAGAGTGGTATGGTGTGGCATAGAATATTTGATGGAATAGTACATGGTGGTATGATATAGTATACATTCTGGTATGGTATAGTCTGTTACTGGATGTTCTAGTATGGTATATAGGGTGGTGTCTAGTATATGAGGAGGTATGGGACGGTCTGTAGTAGATGGTATAGTATATGGGACAATATTAAATACTGACTATTATAGGGGATATATAGTATAGTGTAGTGGTATTGTATAGTATAGGGGAAGATTAATGGAATGTTGTATAGTATATGGTATGGTATGCTCATTCTGATTAAACTCTCCTCTAGGTGTTTTAAGGGTGGAATGCGTTTATCATCATTACATTGACCTCAGCCTGATGTCCTATGGATAAGGTTAGTATTTGTTGTGGTTATTATTACATTTATGGGTTTCTTATAGCTGCAGGATGCACACAGTGGTTAGAATAGAGGCACAGAGCTTCGCGACCAAAAGCAGACATGAACTGTCAGTAAAATGGCAAATTTTAACCCCCCCCCCTCCCCCAGGTCTTTTTGCCATAATGTGCCAGTATGCACAGAATAATTGCTCATTGTGGCATATGTACCCTGCAAAGTGATCTGTTCCAGTGTTGTGATGTCTGCATTACTTGACATGACCAGCACTTGCAGTGGTGATCTTCCAGGCAACGTAAACACAGCAGACTCTACTCTTGCTCTGGGAATGGACTCTGAAAAGGCTATGGTAACAATTCAGATGTCCTGGAATATGCACTCCTTGCTCCCCTCAATGGACCGGGTAATCCAAAGTCACTGGCTCTGAGGAAGAGGCTGAGTCCTTGAAACGCGTTAGCCAGTTGGAAGTCCAGGGTTCCATTTTTGGAATTCTATGCAGTGTGGATTGGACACCACTGTTTAGTGTGATGTGCCTTTGTCCTGTATGTCATTTGTGAGTACGATACTTACTTTTTATCCTTTTAATAAATATATTTTTTACGATAATGCACTAGGCCGGTGCGCCCTCTGTTTGTTTGTTTTCTTTGTATCCAGATCTTCCAGGTTCAGAGTCATTGGCTAGGCCAGGATGATGTAACTCCCGTGTTAAAAAAAACTCAAAATAAAACCTTTTGACTAGAATTCAGCTTGCAAGATTTGTCTGGATTTTTTTTCTTTTAGGCCCCATACCCAGTGAGCATTTATCTGCAGGTGGAGGGCACAGTTGCACCCTCCAACCCCACTACAAGCAGCCTATCAAACTTTGAGAAGTTGAATGCTGCTGCAACTGGACAGTGCACTTAGTGGTATGTTCGCTTTGGGTAGTATGCACCCAGGGATGAATTTCCAAAACGCAGACTTCTTGCATTCCAGGCATTATTTCCTGGGCCCTCACTGCCATAAACCTACACACCAGTAGGTGCACCAGCCAGCCACAGCAACTGTCAGCCTCTCAGGCTGCCTGCCATGAAACACCAGAGTTCCATGCAGCGGAGCTACACACCCAGTGTGCCAGATGAACACACCGGCTGAACCCTAAAAAAAAACTCTTGGCAAGTTAACCTTCTAAAAATAGTATGCAAAATGTATTGAATTTGCAAACCAATAAGATGATACCTAAATAGTGTGCATAATATGGGTGATATGATGCTAGATAATATTTAAAGTTTACGTATAGCCAAAACATGTTTGTTGTTAGTTTTGGATGGAGTATTGAAAGGTTAAAAGACCTTTCAGTTCATCTTTTGCTGTGAGATTTCCACTCACTTTCAGTCCTGGAGACTCAACAGGAAGTGAGAGGAAATCAGTCTAAAGTGATATATATTCCCCTTCTAGACAGTTGTCACAGGAACAAACATCCATATTGAAAGAAATCTCTCTCTTATTCGTGCTTCAGTGATAATTGTAACGTTTTGGATTTCACATCACTTCCTGTCTCAGTGACAATGATCCCCAGTAGAGACGGGCCTAGGTTTGGTTCAAAAACGGAAGTAAGTTGTAAGTGCCGGACCAATCAGCTACAGGCAAGGCTTTCCCTGTGGCCATGTCAGGTCAATGATGAATGCCTCTCTGCAGCTGATTGGTCCAGCACTGACCGTTTATTTCCAGGTTCAGCCAAACGCAGGGTTCACTCATCCCCGTTCACCAGTGCAAATAAAGGGGGGGACTCTTCCCATAGACCGCAACAGAACATAGACAGCAATAAAAGTCAGAAAGATGTTCTAACCCTTTTACCACTGTATCCCAAAAAAAAAAAAAAAGATTTGGCTATACATAAACTTTTATCTCATACTGTTGTCCGTTTATATGACTGCTATGCTATTTTGTTACAGATGGACACAGAGCTTAAGCTATTGCCATTAGATTATGAAGACCATGGTTCACAAAGATGTAGATTGGGTCCAAAAGCTATGTCTCTTCTGGAAGTTAAAGTAGGTTTCCCGATCCTGATATCATTACCAAGAGGCAATTGTCTTTGTACAGCTTGGTCAAGGAAGGACCTTTCTGATGGCTTTCTGCAAGTTGACTCCATGTGCTCTACAATGCCAAAACCTACAATAGACCACACAGATTCAGTTTATTTAAGTTCTTTAAAAGTCTTAAATTCCATCAAGTTAAAAAGGGTGACCGTGAAAGTGGTACGGAGGACTTTGGAAGTGAAATTGGCTTTGTCTGAATCAATGCTTCATGAGGTGGTGAAGGACTTGCTAAGAAACCTGTATGTGTTACCTCAATATGTTGTAAAAACGACCGACGACTCACCAGTTGTGATTGTGGAGGTAATAGACATGGACTGTGTAACTGGTGGTGCTGGCTTGATAACGGCAAAGACAAGCTTGGACATTAAAGAAGTCATAACACTGGAGTGGTACAAGCACATAGCTGACAGTGCTCCTCAGTACAAGGTTGCTGGAATGGAGGAAGTATGTGCTTCTCTCCGTGAGATCATCAATTTACCTTTTCACTATCAAAAGACCTTAACTAAACTAGGTTTAACATGTCCAAGAGGCCTTCTTTTAGTTGGTCCTCCTGGAGTTGGAAAAACTCTTTTAGTGAAAGCTGTCGCAAGTCAAGTTGGAGCCTGTCTAATTAGCCTGTGTGGGCCAGCAATTCATGGATCAAGGCCTGGAGAGAGTGAGGAGAACTTGAGAAAGTATTTTGAGAGCGCCAGAGACATTTCTCAAGGAGGTCCTTGCATCCTGTTTATTGATGAGATTGAGTCCATGTGTCCTAAACGTGGAGGTTCAAGTAATGCCCCAGAAAACCGCATAGTTGCTCAGCTTTTGACACTCATGGATGGGATTCACAGTGATAACAAAATGGTTATTGTTGCGGCTTCTAACTGTCCTGATGCCATAGATTCAGCGCTGAGACGACCGGGGAGATTTGACAGGGAGGTAATTACCTATAGTAGTATTCTTTTAACATTCTATTTTAGAATGAATGTAATTTCCAAAACAAAAACATATGCATACACCTGCCCATAGACACTTTGTGGTTCAGTCTGGATCCCCCTGAAAAACAGACTGATCAAGACTGAACACTCATGTGAAAGATCAGAGAATTATGCAGTGATAAATGTCTTCATAGTAAATTGGCAGTATTTCATTACCTGGAGTTGACTTTGTTACAAGGTTCGGGTTTATTCTATATTACATTGCATTCAATGAATCCTTGTAGTCTAAATTAAAAGATTTGTAAAAAATAAAACTGTTTCTCTACTGTAGGTTATCATTGGAACCCCCACACTTTGCCAGAGAAGAGCCATTCTAGAAGTACTCCTATCTAATATGCCTGTCAGCAGTGATGTGGATGTTGGAGTCTTGGCTGACATGACAGTGGGCTATGTGGGGGCTGATCTCACTGCGCTGTGCCGCGAAGCTGCTATGCAAGTTGTCCTCCAGGTGCACCAGGTAAAAGATGCGGCTACAAGGACTTTTGGCTAAATATGTGTTAAAGGATTACAAGTATTACAATAAATTCTTACATTAGCCATCATATTAGTATAATTTTTATATACTCCCTGAACAATATATTAGGCGCAACTGCTTGCTCTTGCAATTTTTTGATCATGCAAACATTGTTTTTTAACCCTTGGAGCTGGCGCCTCCCGGCCCTTTAAGAGTTTCAGAAGCCTGGAGGCGGGGCAGGGTTTTAGGGTCATGTGACCGCCGTGATTCGCCATCACGGTGGTCAAATGCTCGGGAAAGGTCCTGATCGAAAGAGATCGGGACCTTTCCGTGAGTACTGGACATGTGTGCTGGGAGTGCGCAGGACGCGCTCGCTCTCAGCACATATGTTTTTTCTTAATCACACGCAAATGTGCAGCCTCTCGGAGTCGAGGCCCAGACGCTGGGAGGCTGCACATTTGCGTGCGGCCGGCGCCAAGAGGTTAAATAACAAACATGTCATACTTACTCTGTGCATTGATTTTGCACAGAGCAGCTCCAGTCATCCATTCCCGGGTCCCCACTGGCGCTCCTGACTCTGCCACTTGTTCTGGGGGCACTTGTGTGTGCTTGCTTCTGAGCCTCGCTCTGTGTCCATAAAACACACAGAATGGGGCTTGGCCCTATCTCCACTCCCTCCCTCACTGGCTGTGATTAATAGCAGCGGGCGCCAATGGCTCTTTAAGCCAATGAGGAGTCAGACACCAGGGAGACCAGCAGCTCTCATGCACAACACTGGATTGCGTTCAGGCTTGGGTAAGTATTAGAAGGGGCTGCGGGGGAGCTGCATACTGAAGGTGTTTTACCTTCATGCATGGAATGCATCAAAGTAAAAAACTTTCAACCTGTAGAACCACTTTAGGGCTCACAGAAAACACCACAATAGGGGAGTAAATGTGAACTCATAAATTTTGACCATATCATGACCGATTGTGCCAGACAAGCTGGTTTGGGTATTTTTTTAAGCCATTGACCTCCTAGGGCAGGGGCATCAAACTTGGTTTCATTGTGGGCCGCAGCATCATTATGTTTGCCCTCAAAGAGACAGTCATATCTGTAAGACTAGATGTCCAGAGCAACCCACACCCCTTACACCAGTTGCCAAGAGTTCCCCCATCATCAGAAGTCAAGTGTCCCCCACCCTCCTTTACATCACAATGAACCTCCTTACCTTGTGCTGCCACCAGGAAAAAGCTGAGGGTGGAGCTGGGAAACAGTGCGGGGTCTGGAGGAGAACCAGTGGAGGGATTGAATCATCTGCCGGAGTCTGCTGAATGCTGAGACAAGGGGGGGGGGGGGGCTGCAGCTGCACAGCAAGGCACAGGATCTGTAGGACTTCTGTGCTTTCTGCTGCTGACTGCTGAAATGGGGAAGGGCAGAGTCTGGCGGGGGAGTTCGGTCCCCTCTTCTCTGCTGCTGACTGCTGAGACAAGGTGGGGTGCTGCAGGAGAGGTGCAAGGGTCACATGAAATTACTTGGATGGTCAGATTTGGCCTGAGGGCTTATGCAGGCCATAGACGGGTCGAAAATCGGCCGATTTTCGCACCGTTTGTGGGTTAATTGGTCGGCCGTTTTTAGGGGTTTTGGCACATTTTTTTTATCGGTAAAGTTGGAAAAAAATCGTCTGATTTTGGCGATCAGCCGATTTTTCCCGGTAATTATGGGCAAATCAGCCGATCGTTTTACCGATAAAAAATCTGCGCATGAGCCATGACCTGCAAGAAGAAGAAGAAAAAGAATAAGAATTCCAGTACGCTATTATATTTTATATGAAAAGTCTTGCGGTCGCAACAATGTATCTATTTGTATCCAAATAAAAACATCTGTATCCGAAATGGATACATTGTTGCAACCACAATCATTTTTCATGTCAAATATAATAGCAAGGGACAGAAGTAATTAAATGGCGGTTTTTTTTTTTGTTTTTGTTTTTTTACCGTTGGTGGTAACGTCGGCCGATCGAACGACCGATTTTTCCTTTTTTTTTTTTTTTTTTAAAAAAAAAAGGCCGGTTTTCGACCCCTCTATGGCCTGCATTAGTGTTTGACACGTGTCCTAGGATTTTCCCACACAACAGTCTGTGTCTTTAACTCAGAATGTTACAAAAAACATCCAGTGAACAATGGCTGTGCAACCAGAAACCACTCGGTACAACTATGCAGCACAAAAAAAAAACATCTTGGAATGCACAACACATCGAACGTTGAGGAAGATGAGGCTACATCCGCTTGGATGGAATGTTTTGTGACATGGACAAGAATCATAAAGGAGTGTTTGTTAACACAAATAATTTAGGCTGGGCTTTCTCAGCTAGGGTTCGGTGGATCCCTAGTTTTCCTCAATTTGCTCAAGTTTCCTTGAGCTGTGAGCAATGGTGGATCTTTATCATATCTCTGAGGAAAGGGATTCGTCTCTGAAACGCGTCAGAGGGCTGACTGCACCATCAGTCAGAGACACTGCCATTCGTGTGTGGCAATCTCCATGGTCTTACAGGCTTTACATACATGCTATGAGTATGTTTTTTTTTTTTTTTTTTTGTCCTTTTTTATATTCTAAATAAACCTTGGATAATGCTCTAGGTGTTTGTGCCACTTGTATGCTTTTTTTCTAGTTGTTGAATTCCCCATCTGAGGAGAGCTGCATCTCTGGAACGATATCCATAGGCTACTCATGTTCTTGTTCCCCTGGCCGTCCCCCTGGCATTGATTCTCTTGAGGCGTTGGAGAGTATATACATTTGTCTGTTTTGATCTTAATCACCCGCCTACACTGACCATCAATTTCGGGGGGCAGTTTTCCACTGGCATCCAATGTAAGGGTCACATCCATACTGCCCAACAATGTAAGAGGGCACTTTTCAATAGACTGCTAATGTGTAGAAGGGAACTTCTCCACTGGCATCCTCTAGTCTAAGGGGACACTACAATTTTCAGTTTGTTTTTTTTCCTGGCAATTCCTAATATTCATTTCTTTATACGACTATTGTTGAAAATCAATTTGTCATGTAGAGCAAGGGGGTGTTGTAAAATGATCCGCCCTTGTAGACCTCAGTAGATGCAGGCACTGTGGCGTAATTTCTACTTAGGCCCGTTTCACACAGGCCATGTCTGGTCCAATCAGCAGGGGATCTGTGAACAAGTCTTGTGCTGAATCAGAGCATAATGAAGTGGATGACACTTTTGTGACATCCATGTCCCTTCATTTTTCTATTTATTTATTTTTTTTGCAAAAGTTTAAAAATTGAGCTCTCTGGATCCATATTAAATTGGCACCTGGATGTAAACGGACTTGTCTGTTGTTCGAGTCTGCTTCTCTCCAGCTTTGAGCACCTGCTCTGTGCTTACATTGGATGTTTACAAGACTACAAACACACTGCTTAGGTAGCTGGGAAGCAGGCTGGGACTGACTGCTAGGAACTTTGAGGATGTATTTCTCCACAGTGTCTGCAGCTGCAGAGGCCAGTGAATGTTTGTTTTAAAACCTATTTACTGCTTATTAAGAATATTATGATACTTTAAGGTCTTTAACTTGATCACAAGTTCACTTAACAGTGGTAAATGATAAGCCCCTTGCAGCAGTTTTGTTTATGCGATTAAATGTTAGAAGCTGAGATTTTAGTCTGTAAACATTGTTTCAAAAATGGTTGCGCTGAGCATAAACTACATGATGATGATGATGATAAAGAAGTCATATTAACTTAATTTTATTGTTTTCTTACAGGACAGTCAGGAGAATCAAGTCACTAGAGCACATTTTTATGAAGCCTTTAAAAAGATTTGTCCTTCTACCGCTCGTAGTGCTATTGGACAGGTGGAGTTTAAGCCAGTCTACTGGGAGAAAATAGGGGGCCTTGAGAATGTTAAACTCTTACTGAAACAGGTAAAATACTGTCTGATCCCTAAGTGTGCAAGATGGTGTTATGGCAATTCATTGTGTCTGCAGAAATGCCATTCTGCATCTTAAAATTATTGCAAGAATTAAAATTCAGATTTGTCTATGGCTTAGAAACAGATTTCTTTTTGTACAGTTTTCGAATTAGATATTTTTTTACAAACTCTAAATTGATAGTGTTAAAAAATCCAGACATTAAAGCCGATAATCAGGCATAAAAATACCATACAGTTATAGAAATATGTGGAATACTAGGTAAACTGTACACAATGAAGCAAATTAAAGTGTCACTAAACCATCATAAAAACCATAGAAATACTGTATTGCATGCTGTTCATACTCATTGGGATTCGTTTTTTGTATTCTTCAAAAAAAACCTGGTAGATCCTGCTGTTCTCTGTCTCCCCTTTCTGTCCATACCATATTCCCAATGCAGTTGGGGATTTTGCAGAGCAGTGTTGGCAGCTACATGCTTTAGTTTTTAGTGTGCTTCTATTCTGAGCATTTCCCCATTCACATGTTAGCAATTTATGTGACTACAGAGTCACACACATGGGCGTTTACACAGTAGTAAATGACAGCCCACTCCCTCCCTCCGCGCTCACTAATCAGCTAAACACCATGGGGATGGGATATTGCATCTTGATTGATGGAGGCTTCAACTCCCTGCCATTCTAAGACACAGGCTGGAGAGGCGTGATACAGCCTGTGACTGGTAGAAATCTGCCCACACCATGATATTGTCAAAAAATAATAGAGATTTGATTTCAAATATATATTTGTATGATAATTTAAAACCGTTTATTGATATTAATTATTTTTACTCTGTACCCCAATGGGTGTTTTGTTTTTTTCTTTAATTGAAAATGTGACCCACAGCAGAGGACTAGAAGCTCCTCCTGCTGGGTCATGTGACAGCTTTATATCGATTAGGGAAAAAAGGTACTTCGATGTTGCGGGTTTTTTTTGTTTTTTGTTTTTTGTTTGTTTCTTTTTTTTTTTAAATAAAATAAATACAGTGCCATCATCCATACACATAAAAAGAAGGGATAATGTATATTAAACAATGTGTGTTTAGTATCACTTTAGGTGAGATGTAGAATCCCTGCTTCTGCATTTGTAGATTATTTACAACCTTTTTTTTGTGAAAAAGTGACAGAAAAGGAAGGACTGGTAGACAAATTATGTAAGAGAGAAAGAATTAGAGCGACGGGTAAAGGAGAATTTTCCAGTCTTTTACACTGACAATCATTTATACCCATAAGAAATTCTAAGTTCTTTCGAGATATATATCTGGTTTATTCTGATTCTCAGGACTCATCCAGGATATTAATAGCAGACTGTGGCCAGATTACCAGGGAGGAGGAAGGGGGAGATGCTATTTTCATGTTCCAGACAATGAGGCCATTAGTTGTGCTAAAGTGACTTTGCAGAGAGGACTGCTTTTCAGGATCTAAAAATACCCACAAAGGAAGCAAATAATACTCGCATGTCCCCATGCCCTACACCTAATACCAGTGGGGTTTAGCATAATGCTTTATGCACGTGGCCACAAGAGGGCATACAGGGTACACGGAGTGGAAATAGCTGGCGTAGCCTAGCCAGGGGTGCAGCATTCAGCCTCTTCTATTGAATTGAATAGCTGCACATTGCTATACCACGGTGTACACCAGCAGTTGTATCATTTTCTGCTTGGGTGTACAACTGTGGATGCAGAATAAATACCTATTAAACACCTGCGCTCAGTTAGATAGATGCCTCCTGATGACCTCTATACGACAAAACGAACGCCAAGGCGGTGTTATAGGAAGGAACGTTGGACCGTTGGAGACACCTGGCAGGAGGTTCAAGTAATTGGAGACTCTAACAGGGCTTGGGCTTGTCACAGTGAAGCCAGTGTTGTATGATAAAAATGCTGCGTAACCCAGGTTCAGGGCGGAATGCACAGCCACAGCATGATAGCTTATGGATTTTAATTTTTATATGTCGGTCGCCTTACTTTTTTTACACTGTTGGAGCCGTTTATCTTCTCCATTTTATTAAATCCCTGATTGTGGTGAGAGGAAGGGATGGTGGTGCCTTGGATGATTAACCCCCTGGGGGGAAAGTGCTGACTGACCTGCTCTAGCAAGGGGTCAGTTCTGTCCGGTGAGTTTTCGCATGTGCTGGTGGCTCACTGCTGAAGACGAACGTTGAGGGATACGTTATAATTAGCAGCATTTGGTTTGCGCAGAGCACTTTTTTTGAACTGTATTGCACAAGATAAAGGATAGCTGCACTTGAAGGACGTTAATAATTAATGGATACTTTTATTTAAAGTTGCATTACATGGGATATTCTATATTTAATAATTTAGTATTTTGCACAATTGGTGGTTTAAAGTGCTATGATTAAAGACGACATTTCGTGGATGCAGAATGCGTCCATGGTTGAACATTCATGTATGTCACGGACTATGTATAATCACCATTATTGCTAAATAAGCACACATGTATCACTTGGCACTTCTGTGACCTGCAGTGCCACATACTATTGATATTCAGAATTCTAGAGGTTTTTATGATTCTATGTGATCTGAGACGTTTTATTTGATTTATTTCACTGGAATATTGTATGAACACTTGTATTCACATAAGCACTTTATGATTGTATTTGTCACTTATGCTTTAGCGCTGCACTTACATTTGAATTGAGATGCCAGTATAAACCCTCCTGTAGCAGCATACAGCTATTCATTGCAGTGGGAAGCTGTATGCTACACCCATAGCTCTCTTTATACCGGCTATTTACTTTCCATGCATGCTGTACGCCAGGGGTGCTCAACTTTGTGAAGAGCGAGGGCCCCTATAACCACTTCCAGTCCGGACACTTTCACCCCCTTCCTGTCCAGGCCAGCTTTCAGCGCTATCACACTTTAAATGACAATTGCACGGTCATGCAACACTGTACCCATATGAATTTTTTAGCATTTTTTTGAGATGGATAAAGCTTTATTTTGGTGGTATTTATTCACCATTGGGATTTTTATTTTTTTTTGCTATGTAAATGAAAAGGTCCAAAGATTTTGAAAAAAAGTGTTTTTCTTATAAAATTTTGCAAATAATATTTCATCATAAATCTTGTCCAAAATTGATTCCGTTATCTTTTTAGTAAAAATTTAAATAACCCAAATTAGTTTATAACCAAAAATTATAACTTTTAAACATTTTTTTTTTTTTACATTTTTATTTAATTTTTTTTATATGATTTGTTTTTTTTGTATGTTTTTTTACATACTGTCACCCTAGCAGTACAGTGTCATGGTGACACTGCACTACTTGTGGGGGATGATGAAGACATAAAGGCTGTAAAAGCAATCATTTATCCTTCTCTCTGGCTGCATTCTTGCAGCCATTGAGAACTACTGTGTGAGCTGTGCTTGGTCACAGCTTGTCACATGGTACAAGGCTCTTGTGAATAGCCTTGTACTATGTGACCTCTGTGATCATTCACAGATTTCACACATAGTAAGCAATGATGTCACAAGTGACATATTGCTTACTACTCTGCATGTAATCACTGATTTTTCAATCAGTGATCACATAATCGGGACCTCGCATAGAGGTCCTGTCCGACAATCGGTGTTCCACTGTGTTCGGAGGACACAGTGGGCACCAGGGAGCGTGCACAATCAGGGGACGGGGAGGCCGTTTTATAAACGGCCACCCGACCCTGCACTGCCACCGTCCGGCTGTTTATATACAGCGTCCAGATGGGAAGTGGTTAAGTAGTTTGATAACCGGTTGTGGACCACAATGAAATGGTTCAAAGTTTCGATTTATTTTTTTTTTAATTTTGAATAGCATAATGAACATTTTCCTCCTGCAGCTGAATGCCAGTGGGAAAGTAGGAGAAGCCAGCTTTCAGTGGTTGCAGGAGGACATTTTCCTGTATATACTGCCTCATCACCCCTCCTGTCCAAGTGTAAAACAGAATGTGACAGGGAAGCGGCCGCACGGGCCCCCTGGAGTATGGGATGGGGAATCCACTGCAAGTTTGGCCCTTGTAGAGCAGTTTATATGTGATCTTTAATTGAGCATAAAATGATAGTGTTTAGTTCTCTTTTCCACTTTATTCAGAAAGTTGAAATGTTGGACATAAAATATATATAAAACCAAGATCTTCAACTGCCCCCATCCTTTTTTTTTTTTTTGTTTATTTTTATCTAGAGCATTGAGTGGCCTATGAAGTATCCTGAAGCTTTCCTGAGAATGGGTCTGACACTGCCAAAAGGAGTTCTGCTCTATGGGCCACCGGGATGTGCTAAAAAACACGCTGGTAAAAGCTTTAGCGACGAGCTGCCATTGCGCTTTCTTCTCTGTCAGTGGTGCTGATCTCTTTTCACCATATGTGGGTGACTCAGAGAAGACATTAGCACAGGTAAATATTAATATTTTAGTTCATGTTTCTGTTTCTTGATGAGAGTTAGAGAACGAAATCCAAAATCTGACTGGTTTTCCTGTAACAACCTTGATTCAAAGTTGATTTTCTTCTCTTTTATCTTTACAGCTTTTCAGACAGGCAAGAGCCAGCACACCAGCAATCGTGTTTCTGGATGAGATTGATGCTATAGTAGGGTGCCGATCAGAGGCCAGGACAGGTTCTGGTGTACAGGAGAGAATCCTTTCCGTTCTCCTGAATGAACTGGATGGCGTTGGACTAAAGACTACAGAACGGAGAGGCAGCCACAAATTGTTGGAAGGTGATTATGAGTACTGCCACGATGAACCTGTAGTTTTTTTTTTTTTTTTTTTTTTCTTCCAACTTGACTAATAGCATGGTAGAGGGATCTTAGAAAGTTTGATTAGAGTCAAAACTTATATTGTTTTAAAATGGTTTTTCATTATTTTAAGGTACTTCTTTCGTGGGGAGATGTGATTATAAAAACAGAAGTTGCATTTTACAGTCACAGCTGTAACATTGCTTATCAAATCAATTTGTAAAAGTGCTTTTCAGCAGGCCATAAAGTGATCTTTCATGCCACTGTTGCATTTGTGGTTAGAGAGAGATCAGCGAAGACATACTGTAACATCAATAAAAGAAAAGCATTACATTTATATGCAGTAATTGTGGAAACAAGCTTGTGGACTGAAATGTACTAGTGTTCCAAAAAGGACCTAAAATACCCATAAACCTGAAAGTGGGGACAGCGTTTCTGCAGTGTGTAGCTGGAAGATAAAGTAAACCTCCCCATTAAAAAAAAAAAAAAAAAAAAGCGGTTAAAGAAAAAAAACACTGATCCATCAAAGTCCATATGAATGCTTCTTATCTATGCTGATGCGACTTCAATGAGATAACATAGAAGTCTATGGGGCTGAAATCGCACTGAAGTCGGAATATAATGTGATTTCCTTTGTCATGCAATTCTGTGAACCCAGGCTTGAGAACTTCTAAAGTCGCATCAGTAGTCACTGGAAATTGCATGAAAATCACATTAGAATAGTGGGAAGTGATAAGGGAAAAACTTTTTTTTTTTTTATACAATGCTGAAAAATTGCAGCAAAAATGCAGATGCATTTTTGATGCGTTTTTCATACAGAGCAGTGTGGATGTAGCCTTAATAAACAACAACACCGTCCCAATATATTTGGAGATATCTGTGCTGTAATTTATCCATAATTCACATATACCTGTATAATTTAATTTACCTTTTTAAAAAAGTATATAAAAAAATGATCAAAAAAACACACTTATAAATTACAAATATATCTAAAACCATTTTGGAAACCTTTGGTAAGTAGCTATGGTAAGCATTTGAACCTTAAATCGTTGAAATAGAAATAAAAAGCCAAAGCTTTTTTCATTTTGGATAGAATAAGTGAGGCTTATAACCCCCTTTTTTGCCATCTGTGTCCCATTGGGGAGATTTTCCTTCACTTCCTGTCCCATAGCTAAAACTGGAAGTGAGAGGAACTCCATCCAAAGTGAGAGAATCCTTGGTTGTCACCAGAACTAGTGTCCCCATTAGAAGATTTCCCCTCCTACTGCTGTTCTGGTAGTAACCCAACATTTGGGATTTTCTCCCATTTTCACATTTTTACTCTTGATAGCTGTAAACAGGGCAAAAAGGTAAATTTCCCTAAGGGGACACAGACAGTAGTAAATCTCTGACAGGTGTTCTAATTCGTTTCCACTGTATCAAAAACTAAAAAAAAGGTGCACATGTATATAATCCATTAACTACTTTAAGTCCAGACACTTTTACCCCCTTCCTGTCCAGGCCAATTTTCAGCTTTCGGCGCTATCACAATTTGAATGACAATTGCGCAATCATGCAACACTGTACCCATATGAATGTTTTAGCATTTTTTTGATGCAGATAAAACTTTATTTTGATGGTATTTATTCACCATTGTATTTTTTTTTTTTTTTTTTTTGCTATATAAATGAAAAAGTCCCAAAATTTTGAAAAAAAAAAGTGTTTTTCTTATAAAATTTTGCAAATAATCTTTCTTCATAAATCTTGGCCAACATTTATTCAGTTATCTTTTTAGTAAAAAAAAAAATAATAACCCAAATTAGTTTATAACCAAAAATATAATTTTTCTAAAAAAAATTTTTTTTACATTTTTATTTTATTTTTTTTTTATATTATTTGTTTTTTTTTTTTTACATACTGTCACCCTAGCAGTACAGTGTCACCATAGTGACATTGTACTACTTGTGGGGGGTAATGATTTTTTTTTTTTGTTTACACTGATTGCTTTTACACCCATAAAGGCTATAAAAGCAATAATTTCTCCTCTCTGGCTGCATTCTTGCAGCCATTGAGAAATACTGTGTGAGCTGTGATTGGTCACAGCTTTTCACATGGTACAAGGCTGTTGTGAATAGCCTTGTACTATGTGACCTCTGTGATCATTCACTGATTTCACACATAGTAAGCAATGATGTCAGAAGTGACATCTTGCTTACTACTCTTCATTTGATCACTGATTGGCCAATCAGTGATCACATGATCGGGACCGCACACAGAGGTCCCTTACAACGATCGGTGTTCCACTGTGTCCTCCGGTGTTGCACACTCCACGCACGCACAAGTGGGGAGGCCGTTTATAAATGTTCACCTGCTCCTGCACTGCCACCTTCCGGCCGTTTATATACATGGGCCGGACGGGAAGTGTTTAAATTATTCTACTCTTTGCCAACTCTGTATGGGTTCTATATCACAGGAGTTTGCCTCTAAGCGATCACTTTATAGTATGTGTATGTACACTATATTGCCAAAAGTATTGGGCTAGCCCTCCAAATCATTGGATTCAGGTGTTCCAATCACCTCCTTGGCCACAGGTGTATGAAATCCAGCACCTAGGCATGCAGACTGCTTCTACAAACATTTGTGAAAGAATGGGTCACTCTCAGGAGATCAGTGAAGTGTGGTACTGTGATAGGTTGCAACCTGTGCAATGAGTCCATCTATGAAATTTCCTGGCTACTAAATATTCCACAGCCAACTGTTAGTGGTATCTTAACAAAGTGGAAGCAACTGAGAACAACAGCAACTCAGCCATGAAGTGGTAGGCCACGTAAAATGACAGAGAGGGTCAGCGCATGCTGAAGTGCACAGTGCGAAGAAGTCAGCAACTGTCTGCAGAGTCAATAGCTAAAGACCTCCAAACTTGGTGTGGCCTTCAGATTAGCACAACAACAATGCATAGATAACTTCATGGAATGGGTTTCCATGGCTGAGCAGCTGCATTCAAGCCTTGCATCACCAAGTGCAATGCAAAGCGTCGGATGCAGTGGTGTAAAGTATGCCACCACTGGACTCTAGAGCAGTGGAGACGTGTTTTCTGGAGTGACGATCCAATGGATGTGTCTGGGTTTGGCGTTTGCCAGGACAACGGTACTTGCCTGACTGCATTGTGCCAAGTGTAAAGTTTGGTGGAGGGGGGATTATGATGTGGGGTTGTTTTTCAGGGGTTGGGCTTGGTCCCTTCATTCCAGTGAAGGGAACTCTTAAGGCGTCAGCATACCAAGACATTTTGGACAATTTCATGCTCCCAACTTTGTGGGAAGAGTTTTGGGGTCGGTCTCTTCCTATTCCAACATGACTGCGCAACAGAGCACAAAGCAAGGTCCATAAAGACATGGATGAGTGAGTTTGGGGTGGAGCAACTTGACTGGCCTGCACAGAGTCCTGATCACAACCCCATAGAACACCTTTAGGATGAATTATAGTGGAGACTGCGAGCCAGACCTTCTCATCCGACATCAGTGCCTGACCTCACAAATGCGCTTCTGGAAGAATGTTCACACATTCCCATAGACACACTCCTAAACCTTGTGGACGGCCTTCCCGGAAGAGTTGGAGCTGTTATAGCTGCAAAGGGCGGGCCAACTCCATATTGAAACCTGTGGACTGGGATGCCATTAAAGTTTGTGTAAAGGCAGGCGTCCCAATACCTTTGGCAATATAGTGTATGTACGAGTGAATAAAATATATATTGCGTTAATGTCCTACAGCCATCATTTGTTTGTTTTTTTAACTCTACACACTCATTTTCAGGCTACCATGCCTTCTTCCCTACATAATGAATAATATGTAATCACAGAGATTTTCCTCTATGCATTCATTCATTCTTGATGGTTTGACCCTTATCCATTAGTAGTGATGCATACATTTTCATTGTTCTCCTTGTATGTTGTTTATTCTCCTTGTGCTAGAATTTGTTGCCCCGACCTTTCTACTCTTACCACCTTATTGATTGACTTGACATTTTCTTCCTATAGCCTGAGAGATTTGATAATACACAGAAAGTAAAAATATTAAATAAAGGGCAGAGCTTTTTTTTTAACTTTCCAAAAAAGAGATTTGCTAGGAAGCAATATTTGTTGGACAATAAGTTAAATAAATTATATCTATTCTCAAAAACAAAATGTAATATGTTGCACCTAGTCACCATTAGTTTTCCTTCCCCCCCCCCCTAAATTTCACCTGGTAATCCTGGCCCTAGGTGGCTACAAGCTCACTTCTCCACTGTATCTATAGAGGGAGCACACTGGCTGGCCTTCAGCCATGTCTGCTTTTGTTCATCTCCATTGCATGGGAGAGGGGGCATTAGTAGTTTACAGAAAGAAGATGAGATTTTTTAAGCTTTCAGGTCAACTCACAGGAAATGGTAAGGACACTCCATTTCTGTCAGGATCAACAGGTCTTTTCAGTACTTGCTATAAATGTCTTTTAACCTTAAAAAAGAAAACTAATGCAGTCACCTCATATAATGAATAGTAAGCTGCTCTCTATGAAGTAAGTGTTCTTGGGTTTAGTTATCCTTTAAAATTGCATAAAGATTTAATTCCATTAAAAGTTCTTTACATTAAATGTGATTATTTATACTACTCCCAGGACAAGTTTCAGGAGGTGGTTAACAAATCAGTAATGATCGTAGCTGCTACAAACAGGCCGGATGTTCTGGATGATGCTTTGCTGCGACCAGGCAGACTGGATAAACTACTCTATATTCCACCACCAGATGAAAAGGTAATTGTTGGTTTCTGCATTTTGCAGCTAAATCAATACAGCTCAGCTCTGGTCCTCCAGACCCATTAGTAGGGCACATTTTTCCAGCACTGGCTTGGCGCTCCGCTTCATAAATAAGTTGTGGAAGATACTTTGACTTTATACTAGATTTTTTTCTTTAAACTAATCTAATACTGGATATTGAATTAAATTTTTTGCTACCTGCCACATACACTCTATCCATCTGTGTATATCTTACTCCATATTTGATCCAAGAAATAAGGGGGGAAAATTATACTTTTCAAAATCCATTACCGTTTTGCTTGTTAGTAAGAAAAGAGCTCAGAATGTGGACAAATTCACACGAGGAGTCTTGAGTCTGGAGAGAGATGTCCTAACTACTTAGGATGCTAATCTAAACTGAGCACAATTGGTAGTGGTGGGCTTTCAAAAGCTCATCTGGGCTGGCCTGTTGATTTTTGCCTAGTGTCCTTTTTCCTGTATGTGACAGCATTAACCCATGGTATAGACCAGTGATGGCCAACTTGAAAATTTTAGATGGTCTCAAGTGCAGCCCCTGCCACTTCCAGAGGAACACACAATAGCAGCACATTTTCGTGCAGTGTCAGTTTTGGTCCTGCTGCATTTTTTTGCAGTGTATCACACTGCACACTGAAGAAGTTGAAGTACAGTAACCCCAGCATTGGTGGCAATAATAATAACCCCCTGCATCGGTGTCAGTGAGTCTAGTAATAATAATCCCCTGCATTGGCGCCAGTGGACATAACAGCCCTCAACATTGGTGTCAGTGGAGCAATAATAACCCCCAGTATTGGTGTAAGTGGAGGCAATAATAACCCCCAATCTTGGTGTCCATGCATGCAATAATAACCCTCAACATTAGTGTCACTGGACATAATAATAACCGTCAACATTGGTGTTGGTGGACGTAATAATAACCCTCAACATTAGTATCGCTGGACGTAGTAATAACCCTCAACATTAGTGTCGCTGGACGTAGTAATAACCCTCAACATTAGTGTCGCTGGACGTAGTAATAACCCTCAACATTAGTGTCGCTGGACGTAGTAATAACCTCAACATTAGTGTCGCTGGACGTAGTAATAACCCTCAACATTAGTGTCGCTGGACGTAGTAATAACCCTCAACATTAGTGTCGCTGGACGTAATAATAACCCTCAACATTAGTGTCGCTGGACGTAGTAATAACCCTCAACATTAGTGTCCCTGGACATAATAATAACCCTCAACATTAGTGTCACTGGACGTAGTAATAACCCTCAACATTAGTGTCCCTGGACATAATAATAACTCTTGTCATTACTGTCGGTGGACGTAATAATAACCCTCATCATTGATGTTGCTGGATGTAATAATAACCCTCAACATTGGTGACGCTGGACACCGTAATAACGTTCAAAATTGCTGTCCACAAACACAGTAACAACAACCAAAATTGGAGTCATTGAAGGCAATAATATCCCCCGGTAGTGGTGTCGATAGACATAATAACCCCTAACATTGGTGTCAGTAGAGGCAATAATAGCCCCCACTATTGGTTTCAATGGACGCAGCAATAACCCTCCATGTTGGTGTCAGTGGAGTAATAATAACGCCCAGTATTGGTGTATAATAATCATATAATAATAATAATTGTGCAATAATAATCCCCAATCTTGGTGTCCATGGATGCGATAGTAACCCCCAACATTGGTGTTGCTGGACGCAATAATAACCCTCAACATTGGTGTCGCTGGACGCAGTTATAACTCACAACATTGATGTCAGCAGACACAATAATATCAACCAAAATTGAAGTCATTGGAGTCAATAATAGCCCCTGGTATTGGTGTTGATGGATGCAGTAATAACTGTGGTGGTTTATGTAAGGATATATTCTACTTATAAAGGGCGTGTCCCTTTCCCTTAGATGAAATATTACAGTGCCTCCAGCCGTTAAAATACGGCAAATATTTAGTAAACCAATAATTTGGACACCTTGATAATTTGATCACCACTTATTATTATACCTTGAATTCTTTTAGCCAGTATGATTTCGTACCATACACACAAAATTTGCCTTATAATAGATAAATATAAAAATGTATTTATGTACAAAAAATTATATATATATTAACACAAAACGCAAAAGACTGGTGATAAATGAATATTAATACACACAATCAAAGATATACCCTACCAATGTAATACACAATAATAAGGTTTCTAACTAATTAAATCAATATAACAATTTTTTAAATGATCTGATTATTAAATAAATTTATTAATAATTAATAATTTCGAGTATCTCAAAGGTTATTTTCTCACAAACCATGGCCATAGGATTGAAAGAAGATATTCTCTGATAAAATATACTCTAATTATTAATATTTAATAAATTATGAAATATGAAAAATTATAATATGGCACCAAACAATTTTAACAGTAGAACAGGATCTCTCTACATATATATAACTACCCAATATAGTTGTAATACACTAAGGTAATTCTATGACTCTACACAACAGAAAAATAGGCAATGCAAAATTAAATTAATAGTCTCACCACACCCGGAATTCAGACTATGAAACTCTCCCGTGGATTTAGCTGGCAATGGAACGCCTTCAGAATGATGACCACAGGGGAAAGTGAGATAGAGTTCAATAGTGTGGGAGAATGTAGGAAGTTAGAAGTACAGAGATTTAGAAATTTAGTAAAGTTTTGGAAGTTTGAAAGGATGGAAGCGGGGTTATAGATAGGTCTCTTCAGATGTCTTCTAATGAGGTCTTTCTTCAGTCAGGTTTTTCTTTTGATGAGGTTTTTCCTTTTGATGAGTTTTTTCTTTTTAAAGGTGCATGGGCTTTTATATCCACTAATCCATTGTTCTAAGATACCTTCCCACCAGGCTTCTTGATTGGCTAGTTGAGAAATGTGTGTACATAAGCTATTTCTCTAACCTGCCCACCAGATGGCGGTCATGTATCATAGAACAATTTGAGTATTTGAGATGACTCATACCTCGGGTGGAATTTTAAGGTAATTTCAGGGATTAAATATACGTCTTTTTCCAGATATATAAGTGATCATACCTATAATATTCTAAATAGGGACCATGGAATATAGGTGTATATTCAGTTATTCCTTCTTGAAATACCATCCTGTCTGTTTCCTGATAAGACATATAACTAATGCTAGTTTATAATACATCTTACTTTCCATCATCTCAATACTCAAGTTAGTGATATATAGTTCCCATTGCTGAATATTTGGTGGTGTGTAAAACCTATCCTTTATAACATCTCATTTATAATATGTTTTTGGTATACCTCTGTGGATGGATATATTCAATTTTTTTTTAGCTTTAAATATCCTGAATTTAACTTATGTTTCAGAACCACATTTTCTATGGGTAGGGAAAAACTCTCTGTTTGCCTGGCTCTTGTATTGGAGTCACAGTAAACAACTATTAATACTTTCACCCTTGGTGGACAATAGCATATTGTGATAGTTTGAGAGGTCTGTTGGTTTATCACACTCTGCAAGGTTTGAGTAAGCTCTCAGACAATCCGTTTGGTTCCTCTATTGTCCTGTCCAGACCTTGTATATGTTTACCTGCTATAGAAGTCTGAATAATGGTGTTTGACCACCTGTAGAACTTCAAATAGTATATTTGTCTCTAGGAGGAAAAAAAAAATCCCTTCACCCATCGTTTACATTTCTCTAGCTAGATGGTCATTCGACTTTCCAACCAAGACAAATTAACCCTTAACATCCGGCTATGCTGACTTGATGTTATATAGGATTATGTCTTGATAAATCATGTTTTTGAGACATAATTTCAAAAGGTCCACAACATAACCCTGAACATTGGTGTCAGTAGAGGCAATAATAGCCCTCCAAATTGGTGCCAATGGGCACAATAATAGCTCCCAGCACTGGTGTCGGTACCATTAACACTCTCCCCACATTGATGGACACTGGCAGTGAAATTTAACCCCCATTCCCCTTCATTGGTGGTCAGTGGCATTGACATTTCAGGGCCCTATCCCCAATGATTAGATGACAATTCTGTACATTTGTAGCAAGTCATGGGGCGAGAGCCAGCAGCAGGGACTGCTCTATGCTACATATGTGAATAAGCCAAAACTACACTGTAAATGCTTGTGGGTCATCATCTTGATTCAGGAAGTAGACTGTGACCATGAATCATGGCTAAGCAAAGGTGGCTTGGGGCTTCTGGAGAGAAATGTAGAAAAAGGAATTGTCATGGGGGTACTGTGATCTGTAATTAGGAATAAATACGTGGGAGTGTTACTCATGATCCAGTATGCATGCACTTTACATGAAATAGTTCCGCTGATTCTCGGTGTGCTTACCAGAACATTATGATCCACTCAAATATGATGGCCAGAAGCTGATGGTAATACAGAAATCCTCTTCTGTGTTCAGCCTGGAGATATGGGATACAATGTGGAGGTGGCTTCTGACATTGATCTGTGATTGTAACTGTTTTGGGGAAAGCCAGGTATTGAATGATGAAAATAGTGAATAGGGTGGAAGTAAAAAGATACTTAGTGCTCTTGTGTGTTTTTTTTTTATTATATTACTTTGTCTTAGCTGTGATTTAGATTCTGGCTTGTTCATTGTTTTGCTTTCTGCTATGTTGACAGGCACGGCTATGCATCCTGAAAATCTGCACTAACAAGGTGCCATTGCATTCTGATGTGTGCCTAGAAAGGCTGGCAGCGGATACTCCATTTTACTCTGGTGCTGATCTTCACAATCTGTGTAAAGAGGTGAGAATCAGTTCAGTATTGATCATTAGGTCAGTAAATGTGGAACCCTGTTTTATGAATTCTTTATCTCACTGTTGATTGTAAAATAAACCACCTTAATACCGGACACTTTCACCCCCTGCCTGCTCAGGCCAGTTTACGACATTTTTTTTTTTTTACAAATTCTCTTTTATTGAAAAGTTTGGGTTAAAAAATATTACAAAACGAAGCCTATTGGGCATACCCAGGCTTAGAACTAAAACACAACAAAAAGAGAAAAAAAAAACAAAAATGGAAAACAGAAAATAACAACTCATACACAACAACAACCCACCAACAATAGGCAACTGCACCAAAAAATTCTCAGGACATACACCCAGCAGTAATGCATCTCATTCAATGGGAGAAGACATGAAGGTAAGATGACAAAGCTAGCTGGGGACCCCTTATGGGAAGAAGGAGCAACACTGATCAGCCCTAATCTGAGGTGGGGGGGGACAGAATCACCACATTCAGTTCAGATGTGCCACACTTTGGTAAATTTTGCAGCAATTTCAGCTTTTCAGCTTTTAGCGCTGTCACACTTTAAATGTCAATTACTAAGTCATGTAACAATGTACTCAAATAAATTTTTATCATTTTTTTTAGATAGAGCTTTCTTTTGGTGGTATTAAATCGGCACTAGGTTTTTTTTTGGTAAACAAGAAAACAGAAAATTTTGAAAAAAAAACTATCATTCATTTCTGTTCGATTATTTTTTTGCAAAACTTTATTTCTTCTTAAATTTAGGCCAAAACATATTCTGTTACGTTTTCTTTTGTAGAAATATCTCAAATTAGTGTTCATTATTTAGTTTGTGTGAAATTGATAGATTCTACAAACTGGGATATATATTTTAAAATGGATTAATCCTGATGTACTGAAGGTCTCATTTCTTGAGGCCCTAAAATTGCAAAACAGTACAAATACCCCCCAAATTACCCCTTTTGGGATAGTAGACAGTCCAAGGTATTCAGTAAGTAGCATGGCGAGTTTTTTTAAGTTGTAATTTTTTTTAACAATTTTTTTGGAAAATGAAGAAATTAAATATTTTATTTCTACAGTTTTTATACATAGTCACTGGTGCAGTTCAGTGTCGTCATAGGACTGGTTTGGTGGTGATCAGGGATATGGATTGGTGACAGTATGTAAAAAAAAAAAAGGTTTAATTGTTTTTTTTTTTTTTTTTTTTTTTTCATACTGTGACCAGAGCAGTGCAGTGTTACCATAGTGACACTGTACTACTCTGGGGAGATGATCAGGATATTTTATCACACTATGGTGGCTCATAACAGTGATGATCACTGTTATAAGCAAACATTTTTGTGAATGGTATTTATTTATAGCCAGTATGTACTTTTGTGAGAGCTGTGATTGGCCAGTACCTCATGGTACAGATAGGCTATGTTGACCCTGTCTGTGCCACTGTGATCACTGTGACCAATCAGGCGCTGCCTCTAGGCAGAAGGGACACTACGAGCACTGGGTGCGCTGTGTCTCTATCACAGGATGTGGCTATGCTAGCCGAGGGACACTGCTGCTGTCTGTGCTGCTGATCCTCACTCCGCTCTCTGGGAGGTCCACCCACCACTTTTATTTAAATTATCTGCTTCTCGCAGAGTGACCTTGCTGACAGATCCCCTGTACATTCAGAAAGTCCCATCTCCCTGACAGACAAATCACTGATTCTCAGGGTAATGTATAAGAAGTTAAATATCGGTAAGACCTCAGACCAGAGCTAGTATGGAGAGATCACAACGTCCTGCAACTTCCTCCCAACAAACATCTGTGTACAACGGGAGACCTGAAATTACATTTGTACAGGGACAGGCCCCTCTCCAGCTGGGCCCCTGCCAGCCAAGTTCAGGTCCCCATACAGGGAAAAAGCAAGACAGAGTAGTACAAGTTGATGGAATATTATATGTATATGTAGATTATGTGTTGTATACCTGTATATACTGTATGTGAGATATGTGCATGCCGTGTAACCCTTAATGTGCTGCAGTGAATATATATGAATTTATTTTAAAGACCTTATATATCAGGTTTTCTGCAAGCTGCTGTTTTTCACTTGTTGATAATATATGCATAAGTAGTAGATGTAGTGTACAGTGTGTATGTAGTATGGGAGGGGGGTGCTGTGGTGGAACAGGTGCTCAGGAGGGGGGTGCAGTGGTGGAACAGGTGCTCAGGAGGGGGGTGCAGTGGTGGAACAGGTGCTCAGGAGGGGGTGCTGAGGTTGGCCAGGTGCTCAGGATCGGGGGTGCAGTGGTGGAACAGGTGCTCAGGAGCGGGGTGCAGTGGTGGAACAGGTGCTCAGGAGGGGGTGCTGAGGTTGGCCATGTGCTCAGGAAGGGGGGTGCAGTGGTGGAACAGGTGCTCAGGAGGGGGGTGCAGTGGTGGAACAGGTGCTCAGGAGGGGGTGTTGAGGTTGGCCAGGTGCTCAGGAAGGGTGGTGCAGTAGTGAAACATGAAGGGTTGGATCTTAAACAAAAAGGGGTGGGAAACATTTAAATAAGGGGGCACCCAATTTTAGTCTTGCCTAGGGCAGCACAAAACCAAACTACATCACTATTTGTGATAATTAGGCATAAATCAAAAAATGAACTCGTGCATACTCTAATAACAAGTATGCCATTCATTGTGTGCATTTCGCCCGGTACACTGATCTGTCATCCAGTATGTTTGGTGGACACAGCGGATGACAGATCGAGCCACAGCACGGTGAATAGAGTGCACCAGTTGCATGCCTGGGAGGATGTCAGGATGGGAGAGCACCCGCCCGACTGTCATTGGTTTATAGGCCAGGCAGAACTAGTTAAAGAAGAATTCCAGGTATGTTGTGTATGTTTACATATATTGGACCAATGTAACTCTGTACTGTGTATACACTATACCTGACCAATGCCCCTGGAAGCTGGAAATCGCTGAAGTAGACACTGTTCAGTGATCTCCACTTGCTTCCAGCTTCGTTTTCTGAATGAATGCAAGGTGTTCTGACTGGATGAGATGGAGAGGCGGGGACTTCATGCTCTCCACCTCCAATCAGAGAATGTGGAGGAAACAAGTGGAGATCACTTGAATAGCGATGTCTAACTGCATTGATATCCATCTTGCAGAGGTTTATTGCTGAACCCATATAACTACAGTATGTAAAATATACTATGCCTGGAATTACGGTAATCTTTTAAAAAAAGGTTATTAGAGGTTTGTCCTAAATATTATTTAGTGTGTTCAATCAAGTACACATTTCACAGCTTACCTAGAGAACCTAACTGCAGCCAAACCCTCTTTTTATTTTTTTTTATTCAGGATGTTATTGCTGTCTGTAACCCATTTGGGGAGATTTACCCACTTTCTGTCCTGTAGACAGACGTGTGTGTGTGTGTGTGTGTGTGTGTGTGTATGTATATGTATGTATGTATGTATGTATCTATGTGTGTGTGTATGTATGTATATATATAAAAAATTTGTTTATGTATGTGTATATAAAATGTGTATATATAAAACAAGGACAGGAAGTGACAGGATCTCTCTGGCCTCATCAGTTTGATTACTACCACTTCATCCAAAAAAATAAAAACCTTTTGGCTGGAGATCAGCTTTACTATATAATCTGTTTGATTTCCCCCTTGATTCTTGTGCTTTAGTAGGATGTGGTTGTATGAGATGGACAAACAAAAGCATACAATTGTAAAAATGCAGCTGTATCATTCTGATATGTGTTATCTTTGCCTGCAGGCTGCCCTGGTTGCGTTGCAGGAAACTGAACTACAGGCTACCTGTGTGAAACAAGAGCATTTCCAAAAGGCTTTGGCATCTGTACCACCATCTTTGAATGCTGGAGATCTTTTAGCGTATAAGAAGTTACATGGACCTACGGACAATGAATATCTTTTTATATAATGAATAAATGTACTTTGATCAATTTGAAGCAATCCAAGGCACGTGATAATGAATGTTGAAACAGGTGCCTCAAGCTGATGTCAAACACAATCTGCAGTTGCCCATCAACATAGGACTTTTCTTGCAGATTTGCTGTCCTTCTCTGCTACTGGCAGCTGTAATTTGCCGACGGTTATGAGGTCTGCAGTATAAGGACAATGCTGTGGATATTTAGGAACACTTGGTGCCATCTACCCTCACAGTAACTTCAAGTAGAATTCCAGCCTAAACCTAACTAGTCTTAGAAATGTCCCCTCTGCCTCCTAACACCTATGCTTGCTAACCTGTCAAAAAAAGATATACAGGTGAAACTCGAAAAATTAGAATATCGTGCAAAAGTTTATTTATTTCAGTAATGCAACTTAAAAGGTGAAACTAATATATGAGATAGACTCATTACATGCAAAGAAAGATAGTTCAAGCCGTGCTTTGTCGTTATTGTGATGATTATGGCTTACAGCTCATGAAAACCCCAAATCCACAATCTCAGAAAATTAGAATATTACATGCAATCAATAAAACAAGGATTGTACATAAAACAATATCGGACCTCTAAAAAGTATAAGCATGCATATGTACTCAGTACTTGGTTTGGGCCCCTTTTGCAGCAATTACTGCCTCAATGCGGCGTGGCATGGAAGCTATCAGCCTGTGGCACTGCTGAGGAGACCAGGATGCTTCAATAGCGGCCTTCAGCTCTTCTGCATTGTTCGGTCTCATGTCTCTCATCTTTCTCTTGGCAATGCCCCATAGATTCTCTATGGGGTTCAGGTCAGGCAAGTTTGCTGGCCAATCAAGCACAGTAATCCCACGGTCATTGAACCAGGTTTTGGTGCTTTTGGCATTGTGGGCAGGTGCCAAGTCCTGCTGCAAAATGAAGTCAGCATCTCCATAAAGCTCGTCTGCGGAAGGAAGCATGAAGTGCTCCAAAATCTCCTGGTAGACGGCTGCGTTGACCCTGGACTTAATGAAGCACAGTGGGCCAACACCAGCAGATGACATGGCTCCCCAAATCAACACAGACTGTGGAAACTTCACACTGGACTTCAAGCATCTTGCAGTGTGTGCCTGTCCATTCTTCCTCCATACTCTGGGTCCTTGGTTTCCAAATGAGATGCAAAAGTTGCTCTCATCAGAAAAAGAGGACTTTGGACCACTGAGCAGCAGACAAGGTCTGTATTTCTTTAGCCCAGGTAAGACGCTTCTGACGTTATTTGTTGTTCAGGAGCGGCTTGACAAGAGGAATACGACATTTGAAGCCCATGTCCAGGATCCGTCTGTGTGTGGTGGCTCTGGATGCACTGACTCCAGCCTCAGTCCACTCCTTGTGAAAGTCCCCAACACTTTTGAATGGCCTTTTCCTGACAATCCTCTCCAGGCTGCGGTCATCCCTGCTGCTTGTGCACCTTTTTCTTCCACACTTTTCCCTTCCACATAACTTTCTATTAATGTGCTTTGATACAGCACTTTGGGAACATCCAACTTCTTTTGCAATTACCTTTTGAGGCTTTCCCTCCTTATGGAGGGTGTCAATGATGGTTTTCTACACAACTGTCAGGTCAGCAGTCTTTCCCATGATTGTGATTCCTACTGAACCAGACTGAGAGACCATTTAAAGGCTCAGGAACCCTTTGCAGGTGTTATGGCTTAATTAGCTGATTAGAGTGGGACACTTTGAGCCTAGAATATTGCACCTTTTCACAATATTCTAATTTTCTGAGATTGTGGATTTGGGGTTTTCATGAGCTGTAAGCCATAATCATCACAATTATGACAAATCATGGCTTGAACTATCTTGTTTTGCATGTAATGAGTCTATCTCATATATTAGTTTCACCCTTTAAGTTGCATTACTGAAATAAATGAACTTTTGCACGATATTCTAATTTTTCGAGTTTCACCTTTATATTCTTACCTGGTTGCAGCCCACTCCAGGAACAGGATCTATGTCAGCCAGTGGATGCTGGAGGGTAAAGGCGACAGTACATCACAACACTCCTCTCCCCTGCAGCCACCACTGTCTTTCACAGGGGAGCCTGATCACATGACCAGATCAGAGCAGGCTGAAAAAGGTAAGTATATACAGGTGTATCTCAATAAATTAGAATATCATCAAAAAGTTAATTTCTTTCAGTAATTCAATTAAAAAAAACTCATATAGATTCATTACACACAGAGTGATATATTTCAGGCATTTCTTTCCTTTAATTTTGAGGATTATAGTTTACAGCTAGTAAAAACCCAAAATTCAGAATAATCATAACACCAATAAAAAAAGGATTTTTAATACAGAAATGTTGGCTTGCTGAAAAGTCTGCCTATGTACAGTATAGTATGTACTCAATACTTGGTTGGGGCTCCTTTTGCATGAATTAATGCATGGACACGTGGCATGGAATTATCTTTTTGATAGTCTAATTTGAGATGGACCTGTACATTTTTTTTTTTTTTTTTTTTTTGCAATGGGTTAGCCAGCATATAGGTGTTAGGCGTGGGGGAAGGGAGTATTTTTTTTAAACTAGTTAGGTTTAGGCTGGAATTCTACTTTAATGCTCTTCCTAGATCTGTTAATATGTACACTTACTGGCCATTTTATTATTTATTTATTATATAGTGCACATGCATTATAAGTCCATCTAGATCCCCTATGACTTCAAAGATATCACCATTCTTCTTCTAAATACAAACAGATGTGTTTTCAAGGGTCTCTCTAAACAATAAACATAAAGTGAACTGATCCCACATTCCAGGTGCTGTAACTAGAAATTCTTCATACTGTGTGCACCATCAAGGAGATTATAGGTGTGTTCTCACCTTTGACCCATAAATCAATATAGGTCAAAAGAACTTTGCCATCCCTCCCCCTCCAGATAATAAAATTGCCCTCTCTGCCAGGTATCTCTCCAGCCCACTCAGATTTTTAGGGTCACTACAGCTTTAAATCCTCCTCTGTACCCTCCGTGTCTCTGCAAGGTTAGCTTAGAGCAAACATACACTCACTGACCACTTTATTAGGTACACCTTGCTAGTACCGGGTTGGACCCCTTTTTGCCTTCAGAACTGCCTTAATTCTTCGTGGCAGAGATTTAACAAGGTGTTAGAAACATTCCTCAGAGATTCTGGTCTATTTTGAGATGAGTCACTGTTACCTTTTCAATCATCTCAAACCAGTCTACCCATTCTCCTCTGACATCAACCAGGCGTTTTCATCCACACAACTGCCACTCACTGGATAATTTTTTTTTTTTTGGACTATTCTCTGTAAACAGTAGAGATGGTTGTGTGTCTGGCACCACTGACCATGGCCATATTCAAAGTCACTTAAATTTCCTTTCTTCCCCATTCTGATGCTGTTTGAATTTCAGCAAGTCGTCTTCACCACATCTAGATGCCTAATTTCATTAAGTTGTTGCCCTGTGATTGGCTGATTAGCAGTTTGTGTTACCAAGCAATTGAACAGATGTACCTAAAAAAGTGGCCGGTAAGTGTATGTAACCTGCTTTTGTACAGCAAAAACACAAGTTTAGCTCACTATGAAAGATTGTGTATGATTTATAGTCTTGGTCTGTACATGGCTCTTGGATAGAAGGTGTGTGTATAGGTGTGGCATATTTGACAGTATTGAGTTCTATAACTGGAGTCACAATTTCAGTCTGTTGCTATTTGCAAGTTTTATTGCAGTAATAAATCACTCAGTTATAATTAGCAAATAAATATTTTATTACAACTGTATTGTGCAGATTCAGTACCATCCTCTTTGCTATAGAAGTAGTATGCTAGCGATGTGGTTATTACATTTTGGAATCATTATACATATTTGAAGGCAAAAAATTAAATGTATTTAAGAAAACAATTAGATAACACACCAAACCAATTTCAACAAATTTTTCCAGTTATGTTTCCGGTTTAGGTACACATGGACAGTGCAAAGAGGGATCTGTGCTTAATATGTATATTTACAACACTTAGCCACCCATACCAATAAACGTCAGTGATATGTCCCATGACAGCTGTGGTGATATTGTCATGGTAAATTTTTTTTTTTTTTTTAAGTGGTTTCAAACTCAATAGATATAAAGTAAAAGGGGGAAAAAAAAAAAGTCTTTCAGTGCCCCCCTCCCTCCTTAAATACGTACCTGAGTCCTGTATTGATTCAGCACTGTGCTAGTCTGCAGGACTGCTCTCTTACAGGCTCAGCTGAGAGCAGTGGGAGTCATTGGCTCTTGCTGCTGTCAGCCAAAACCAGTGAGCAGGGGGTGGGGCCAAGCCAGACTCAGGAGTAAGTCTGCATGTGTACCACCATAGGAAGCAGCTTCCTAACCCAGAAGAGGAACAGAAAGTTGTTCCAGTGGGAGACCCCAGAAGAGGAGGTTTTGGGCCGCTCTGTGCAATATCATTGCACACAACAGTTTAGTAGCACATTTTTTTTTTTTTTTGTTTTAGCGAGAAATATAAACTTTACAATCGCTTTAACCTTTGGCTTCATGATCATTTGGAGCCATCTAATCTAAAAAGAACAAATGTTAAGGCTTAAAGTATATGTCCAGCCAAAGTGAGAGTGTGAGAGTGTGTGTGTTACCCTTACTTCCTCTCCTGATGACATTGTTCCACTAGCCAGGAAGTGAAGGGAACTCATCAACAACAACACAGATGGTAATACAATGCTTATCATTAGAGTAAGGGTAGGCTAAAATCCCTGTCCACTTTAAATGCTGCCTGTGCCCATGTTGCAGGTTTTCCGTCATTTCCTGTCTAATGAAACCATTATCAGCAGGGCAGGAAGTAAGGGAAAATCTCCCTAACAGAGTCACTCAACAGGAGTTCTAATCCTTCTCCACATTATACAAACCTAGGAAAAACAATTGGCTTGATAGATCTTAAAGTGAAACTTTATGCTATAAAAATAATACTCGGCAGACAGGCAGGATTTGTAATGCAGAAGAGACATGCTTTGTCTCTTC